TTCTTGTACTCTGGGAGTTGAAAACCAAAGTAAAAATGCCAATTTATAATCCAGCATACAAATGAAATTACTGGCTAGATGTAAAGGAAACAGAAGGATACCAATTTATAAGAAAATTCAGGTATTAAAAATAATTTGTCTATTTATAACTAAATTATTGCAATTGAAAGATTAGAAAAAACTTGTACATTTTTCAGTTCCATTACTTGTGTATTTGACAATGTGTGTAATCAGTTCAGTTTTCTATGGTATCTTGCCAGTTTCCTGCATGTGGGTGTGTTTTACCCAACAACAGGGAAGGACAAATAATTTGAATTTACTGCACATAAGACTTCTTAAAACCACAGCCTGGTCTTGAGACTGGACCGGTGAGTTACTCTTTCTCCACAGCATCCTAAACTTAGTATTTCATACCCTTCTGTACAGCCCTCCCAAATAAGCCCTGGAGCTGCACTACAGTTTCAGTCAAGATACTTCTACAATGCACCCAGATGGGATTAAATACAAACCAGAGGCTTCCTCTTATAAGAAATCTTGTAGCATTCATTCAAATGATCTATTTCCTTAGAGATCAGAAGTCTGTCATCTGTAGAAACACTTTTTGTACCTCATTCTTGCTAAGAAAGACGGAAAAGTAAAAGAGTGAAGTTAGGAGAGACCATAGAACTGTCAACCAAATTCAGACTTCGAAAACATCACATCTGGTAGGACTTGGTGAAATGTGCAGAGACTGCCAACTGGATGTTTTGCAGACCTCTTTGGAGACTACTATGCTAAGTTGTAGTTAGCATAGTTGTAGTCTGCTAAGTTGTAGTTTTGAGGTCTGATACTTGACGCCATTAGATTTCCAGCTCTCTGATAAGCTTTTATACTAGTAGATCAGAACCTCATAGAGGAGATCTCTTAGGATCCTCTGAGGTCCTTGCTTTTATCAGCACAGGAAAGAAACAAAGAAGATGACTTCCTAAAGGGCTTGTCCTGTCCTGGTCATATGCATTGCCTCTGCAGGGATCTAGACAGTGCTATTGGTGAGTTCTTACAGGATGAGGTGGTTGAGGGACACCTCCTCTTTTCCCCACCCCAAATGAGAGCAATGTTCTGGCTTAGGTAGCATAAAGTAAATTAAGTAAAATATCTATGGATTGGGAGCCTGGAAGATTGATCTACAGAAAAAAATGCAGGATGGGCAAATACCAGATAATGCAGTAAGCTCAATAACTGTTCTGGCTCACTAATGGCAATCAAAAAACCCAGGAAAAACAGTTGGAGATGAAGTATAAAGATGACTATTATTTCAAAAGAATGGTCCATAAGGAGTTCCAGACCAGAAGTTCAGGTTTCAGTTAACAGGAGCCCTAATATGATGGTATTTAGAATCTGGTATTAAAATGAAGTAGTTCTAGATCAGAAATAGCCAACGTTTTTGACAGGAATGCTGCAAAATAAGCCTTGTGAGCTCCCCAGTTGCCACTCCAATGCCCTTCCTCTGCCTGATCCACTGCTCTGCTTTCTGCTTTCCCCATCTGCTGCTGTACTGCCTGTCCCTTCCCCAGTCTGCAATGTGCCACATACAGAGGCTGCCCATGCCAACTGTGGGATCTGTCAGAGGTTTGTCACCCCTGTTCTAAATATTCATTTTTTCAGTCAACACCAATACCTAGGTGGTGGATAACAATGAGGCTAGTTCTGGGAACTGCCTTTGTGAGAGGGGGGTCCTGGGTGGGGTGATGGGTGCAGAAATAGCCACTACCACAGCTGGGGCTAATCACAGTGCTGCAATTGATAGCACAACAATCGGTGCCGCACCAAGCATTGCACAGCTGCCCAGGATGCAGAGCCACCTGGCTATGCTTCTGGATACCTACTACACATGGTAAATCCTAGAGCTGCTTTAAAATGATTTAGTCCGTAATCTCATGTACTGAATCCTCTGTTAGACCAACTACTTTTCCACTATAAAATGATTTTTTACCTAGATTTCCTGTGGTAAACACTTCAATATTGTTACTAGTTTGGGGGGGGGGGGGGGGGGGGAGGGAAGCTAAACTAAAACAAACAATAAGCACTTATGCTTGTGTCTCTATTCCACCTGAAGCCCACTGAAGACGCATTGAACCAGAGTCTCTGATGATGATAGCTGGCATAGTTAAACTGAAGTCAGTTGGGGTAGCCACTTCATGCTATCTGAAAAATCTACCTCAGGTTTTCTATATGTATGGCTTTTGCTTTCACTTCATGTGTAGCTTATTATCAATAATGTGCACTTAGAGGTAATTTCACATAGATTCCATGAATTCTGCCTAATCCCCTGTGACCATTCAAGCTGTTTGAGAGGTTGTGGTCAACCTGTCATGTACAACATTGCTCTATCTTCAGGAAGATGAATTTGCAAATTCATTCTTAACGTCTCGATGAATTTTTGGAGAAGTACAGTCAAAAGATCAGTTAGCTTAAGAGTAAAGAGTGTAAGCCATTAATGGTGACACAGTTAAAGGACCCTTCCTTTCAGTACAGAGTTTTATTAGGAATTTCTATAGTTCATGGATACCTGCCAATTCTACAAAGAAACAATTTTGAACACTGAGGACCTAAAAAGGCAATTTTATTCTTCATATTACTCCTGCTTTAAGATTTTTTCTGCAAGAAAAGAAATGCAAGGAAAGTTATTTCCTTAGCAGTTAAACAGAGGCTAATTCAACACTTCTTAGTACTACTGGTTTTAACATGCATACACTAAATGTATTCTGGTCTTCAATCACCTACTGCTACCAAATATTTAAGTGGGAATTCAAAATAAAAGGGATCGTGTAAAAAATATTCTACCTGCATAAACTTTCATTTAAAATAGCTTTTGAGATATACTTAGTAGTAATTTACTTAGTAGTATATAACAACTTTATTATAATGAAGAATAAAAACACGTTGCCATTGATTTTAGGAAGATAGTTATTCAAAGGCTTGAAGGCCATTCACATGAAAAATGTGTTGCTAACACCTTTAAATGTTTAATTCTACAGAACTAAAGGCTTGTCTACACACAGACTTATTGTTGCCAGTTAGTTGCTCCCAAATAACTCCTTGCATGGACACTTTTATTCTACAATAAGAATGCCTGATTCCTACTTAACCACCCACTTTGGAAATACATTGAAGCACTCTGGGTATTCTGTATATCACAATGTAATATTGTGTTAAGGTACCCCAGCTAGTTCAGGCACTGAAAGCAACAGAACTATGTTAGTGCAGTATTACACCTGGGCTAACATGCTATACTGCTCCTATTATCTGAAAAAGCTCAAGCAGAGCCAACTAGGGAATCCATACTATATTGTCTGGTGTAGACATACCCTCCAATTCTGGAACAAGAATCCACACATGGAATTATTCATGGAACAGCTACTGTGCTTTGAATTTACATCCTACTATAACTGGCATTAACTGAGGGAAGATATGACCCTAACGGTATTTCTAGTTGCTTAATATTAATATATTTCTAAACAGACTCGCCAGCGGTAAGTCTAGGTAATTATAATTTACCCCATAAACTCCGTCCTTATTCTAAGCCACTCATATTAACTTACATCCATTTTTGCCTTTAGTAGTTTGCTACACCCTGGTGCGGTTTTGTCAAAAATGTTACTCAACCATTTGACTTTCACCAGACAGTTATAAAGAGAAAGTTGTATTCACCTAACACTTGTCCAAAAAGTGATAAACTAATATTCATTGGTTTCTTCTCCCTTTTTGTCCCTGCACACTGTTTAATCTTCCAGAGTAAGACACTATCCCTTAGCTGCTCCTAAAGGTTTTGCACAACATACATATCCCAGAAATTCTGAAAGCAAGAAGACTGCTGAAAGATGGGATTATAAGGAAGTTAACTGTATCCATTTAAACATATTACAATTCTTTAATGCTAGAAGGCAGGGTATTGATTTTAAATTTATTTTTAAGTGAATTTAATGCTTGCTAAAGGTGCTGGACTGATGGGCTCAAGAGACTGAAGTCCTTTATCTACAGTACAAAGAGCACTACAAGATTCACTACTATATTATAATCCTCAAGGGACTGGTCTTAAAAAGGCTGAGCCTTTTAAGATGGTGTCTACTAGTACACTACATACACGTTATGAAAACCCGAACAGCAGCATGGTATAAGTGATGTGATTATTTAAGGTAAAAACGTCAGGAACAGTAAGGCAACTGAGAGAGTTAATATTGTAGAACAATGCAATCCATTCAGATATTAAGATAATCAAAGCTATGTATTTGGAAAGTGTGCAGAAGTAGTCCAAAACAGCAGAGATGACTGGGTATGTTGCACCATTGCACAGGGTTTAGATAAAGAAATTTCTTCACAATATGAGATAAACTGAAATGAACCAGTCAGTGTTTGGGTTACATAAGCCTTTGCACTCTTCTGATCTTTCTAGTTAACAGAAAATTGCCATGATCATATCAAGGAAATCTGAAGAAAGGAATTTCATAGGTTAAGGTTTTGACAGTTTTTAAAACTAAGAAATCTGTTAACTGACATTAAGCAAGCATCCTTTTTAGCAATCTCAGTAATACTACCATACAAAAAACCTTTCCACACAACGGTAAATACCACAAATCTGCACATGGACTCTATGATGGCACAATGCAGTATTGTTTAATTGAGTTAACCTTATAAGCATAGCAGTGCCTAATGCATATAACAGCAACATATTCAATTCTTCCCTATAATCTCATGAAAATTCAGAAAAAATGGGTGTGTAATTCCTAGGCTCAGCATTTATTTATCATTAGGTAAAAGATTTAATCAATACAAATAGTGATTCCTTACACTTTATCAAAAAAGGACTAAGTTCAGAAAAACTAGAATGTTATATTTATAATACTAGGTTAAAGGAATGTTATAATGAAGCTGTAATAGTCGATTATAATCAGCAAGAACTGCTGTGCTTACAAAATAGTAGGATTTAAAGTGAGCAAAGATGGCAGTATTTTATCACTTACCTCCTGCTTCAGTTCTGCTATCTGATCTTTCAGTTCTCTAATATACTGGTTACAGTCAGATTTATTAAGCTGCCCTTGAATTTTTCCTTCTTCTTTCTGTTTTTATTAAGAGCAAAAGAAACCATATTAATAATCTTCATCGTTATATATAGTTTTATTTTAAGAGACTGAATGATTCAAGCATATAGGATACAGAACTTTTTACTTCTAGCCACTTGTTTAAATCTGACTTAGGCTGGCAGGAACCAAAAGTTGTTATCTGTAAAGATGGTACAGTGCCTTGTGTAACATTTTAGTTGTCAGTTTCTAGTGAACAGCAAGCATCTACAGTCACATAGCCATTATCTTGCTTTCTGTGTCAAACTGAGAAAAATTTTACTTTCCTTTTATTTTGGGATATATGGCAGGGAATAATCACACTTGCCAAACATTAAGTCCCTTTAATTGAAGTTTCTATGGAATTCCTAGTTTAAGTAGGGGAGGGTTTCACCCTAAATGTGATGCATACAAGAATCTGGAGGTGAGGCACTGAAGTGTGTATGACAGAGTCGGTCTGTCTGTACCTTCCATGTCACCAGGGCTGGGCCACAATTTTTTGGGGCCCCCTGCAAGAGATTGTTTGATTTGGCCCTGCAAGTGGCCAAAGAAGCCAGTGGTAGCATTGGCAGTGGGGGGTGGTGAGTAGGTGGATGTGAAGCTGGGAGTGGTTGCGACAGTGGTGGGGGTGGCGAGAGGCTGCATATGGAGCCGGTGGCAGCGGCAACGCGGAGTGCGTTGGCTGCGGGGCCCCCTGCAGCCGCAGGCTCCTCAGCATGGAATGGGCCAGCCCTGCCTGTCACAAACACAACAGTGCCTGCAACTGCTGGGGTTAGGGAGGAGCCTGGAACTAGCCTTATTTTCCTTCTTTGCATCCAACAAAGTAAGCTGATGCTTATATCTCTCTGATGTAGTTAGTCTATAAGGTGCAAAATCTACCCTGGCCCTCTGACAAGCCTTGTTTCACCACAGGCAGCCACAGCTCCCAAGTACAGAAGAGATTTTAGCTGTACAGGTTTGAGAGCTTGTAGTGCTAGAACCTTATCAATTAAGATACCCATAATTTTGCGCCCTACTGAACCAAAGCTTGTGGTAGATCTCTCCCCTTTCAATTTGATAGGCATAGTGCATGGGACTGGCCTCTTCCCCATGGTTTTCTGTTCCACTGAAAACAATAGTAAGCAGTGACTAATATTTCAGTAATGGTGGAGTGCCCCTAGTAGCAAAGTAACATCCATCTTTGGCATCAGCACCTTATATCTCTTTGTATATTATAGAAAATGTCTGTCTGAACAGGTAGAAACTGAATAGAATGGATAAGATTGGATTTTCTACCCACTACTACACTTTAATGAATTACAGCTCTGCCTCCAACCTCTTTACATGCATGAAAATGTAAGGAATAAATCAGTCATTTGTCAGAAAAAGGTTTCCAAAAAAAGATTAGAGATTGGATATCTTGCAGGTCTCATTTTTAAATAATTGTAACTTTAACAAATTCAATTAAAATTCTCAGAAAAACGTGTTCTTTACACACAAATGAGTAGCTATAAACAGAATGGTGTAATTTAAAGGATGGCATTTAAAAAAAAAATCAGAGTATCAACCCAATTTAAAACTCAATAATTTGTGCCCTGGAGCTTTTGAATAAAATTGGTAATGAATGAACTGTATAACAAATACAGTTTTAAATGACACAAGTGTTACTGGTTTGATTTATTAAGTATATTAAGATGCAGTGTTAATTCCTATAAAAGCAGAAGTTATTTGCTTATCAATCATTTTGTCCCAGTAAAGATGTTCAGGGGTACTTTAACTTGCCTTTTTAATGTCAGATAAATATGAAGTTTAAGCATTAAATTTTTAATGGTTATTTACAGTCTACATTTCTGCAAACAATTAGAAAGCTAAAGTATAAAACATTTTTGATAATTTAGGACTATAAATGAGAAGAAAGTAAAAATCAAAAGCTGATTTAAAAGTTAAAAAGTATAAATAAATGAATTAATCTATTTTAAAATAATTTCTCTCCATTTTGTTTGCACCGTTTCACAGCAGACTCAGGTTGCAACTCACATCCAGTTTAATTCCCTTTAAAGTGGTGCTACTCAATTAGGGAGTGAAGAGAAAGGGAAGTTTTAGTTATTCTTCAAAAAAAAAAAACCCACAAAAACAAAACACAAAGTGAAAAGTATTTATAGGGTGTTTTTTTTATAGATACCTATGAAATATTAAATTTATAACATAACAGATACCAGAAAATTGAGGGCAAGATCAGCAGGCTGAGCTCATGCTAGTGAGCTTTCAAATTTAGTGGCATTCATAACAGAAGGAGCCTCCAAGACGCTTTTTATCTTAGATCTTATCAGGCAGAAGGCCCAGAAGGCCAGGCAAGATGACACCTAACAATCTTGTGCAGATTGATTGCAGGCCATTTCATTCAGCAGAGCACATAGCCATCCAATGAGTTGAGAGATAGTTAGCCAAGTTAGTATGAAGACAGGCAGAAGGCAAGGTCAACCTACATTGCCTTCGGCTTGACTTCAGACTAACATGGCTCTCTCTCTCTCTCTAGATCCTACCAGCTGTCAGTATTTTAGATGCAATTTCTGAACTCTGTAAAATTATATATCCTTTACCATCATGCTCTTGGATACTCTACATCTGATATTTAAATCTAACAGTAATTAAACAGCTCTGCAAGCAGAATTATACAGTCAATTCCCTCCTTTATCCTCAGCATTTATTTGTCCAGCCTATTTTAAAAGCAAACAAAACTCAAAATTCGACTGTCCCCTCTATGGAAGTCTTCCTACCATTTTTAATATAAATAATAAGCAGAAACTGCTAAATTTTACACCAAGAGCACCGGAAAAGTGGAAAAAATAAAAACCTAGACTGCACTCTGGAAGCGAGGCAGCTCAGGTCTCTACATAAAACTTTATTATCTCACTTTATCAGGAATCAACTATTAGCTCAGGCCATCTTATGTTAGAACAACTCCTTGTAATAACAGAAATATGAAGGAGTATCACTGTTCTTAAGCCAGTTTGGCATTTCTATTAAATTTGTTTTTCTCAAATACCATGTAAGTTACACGATCCATAAACCATGCTATTACACAGCAACATTAAACTGAGGGAGGGCTCTACTATGAATAATGAATATGCATCCCTTTTAGTATAGTCAACAGATCTTTGACTAACAGATTTTTACTGCTTTTCATGCTTTGTAATGGTACAGTTAGCAGCTGTGACAAAATGAGCTGGATTTTATTTCTTTGTGAGCAGTAGAATTATTTACCTTATTCCAAATCAGTTACTTGGATCTCACTAAACACATAATTAATTAGGTTCTTAGAATGCTCACTACAGGCAATAATACAAGGGAAGGAATGGTTCCGGCTTGTCTTTCAGATTTTACAGAATGTGAAGACCTGCTAATTAGGAGAGCATCTCTCATAGTACTATGCATATTGAACATGGAGGTAATTGATACAAAGGGGAAAGCCCACAATATTTTCTACAGAGTCACTTTACAAAGAATCATTCTGTAACTTCCTCTTGCAACACAAAACACAGCAAGTCAGATGTCAGTACACTTGGCTTGTTGCAAAAAGCATTGGATAATTCTAGTTTCAGTTACTTATGGCCTTGTGTTTTATTACAAGCTACTACAAATACAAATGGTTGAATTGTAAGGCTACAGTAAGGTATAAAATAACATTATAGGACAAAGTAAAGAAGCCTTCATGACTGCAGATATTTTTTTTCCTAAATAATATTAAGAAAAAAATATTTTATTGGGGCTTTCTCCCTGGGTACAAATCATTAAAAAATGCACTTTTATAGTTAAACATTTAGAAACTGGTTTATCAATGTTAGATAGATGGTTTACCCAATCATCTGATGTATTTAGAGCCATTTTATGCAAATAGCAAGCTGTCAACATGTTGGAAAATACCCAGGCACAGGACAAAATTATTACTCTAAAAATTATTTTTCATCTTAAAAGACAGTAATACACCCTTGTCTCTAACCAATGGATAAGCTGAACAGACAGTTTTACACTTTTCAAAATAATTTATAGAAATTAACTTGGACCAATTATGGTCGACCTGTAACTTACTCAAATTATGCTCTCAGGAACCATGATAAGATGCCATTAATACACTTTCCTTATATTCTGGTGCAAATAGAACATTTTAGTTGTTACCTGAGAAACTATTTAGCTACCCAGATATTTTACTTGACTTGAGCTCAGCTGTTTTCTAGTAGTTTCCACATGGTAGCTTCTGACAAGCATTCTGAGTGGGGAAGCAACTACTATGACGTTTGCGAGAGAGACAGTTTGAAACAGTTCTTTCAGGCTTCGTACTTTAAGGCAGCACAAGCAAATATCAAATGAAAAAAGTTGAAAAATTAATAAGAGGTTCTTAGCACACCTGTAAACAGGCTGAGAAATAAACTTGTACATCTAAGATCCAAAAAAAAGTGCGTGTGTGCATATTCATCTGTTAGATCAATCCAAAAAATTTAAATTGTAACCTAGTTAAAAATTGCGTTAAATATTTCAGGGTCTCGACGTGCTTAAAAGAAAAATGAGGCATTTATACAGACACTTTAAACTACCAACGAATTGTATAACTGTCCCTTGAAACCCTTACTGTACTACTGTTAGGTTGTCCTCTATTTAGTCTATATGGGTTCTTATATTGTAGTACCTGACCTCCTCTTCAATAGTGCATAAGCTACATGACTATGGGTCTACCCAAGTCGTGGTAAATGAAAGGAATTTATGTGGGCCACTTGCTGAGCTGATTTTGCAGCCTTTTGTGGCAAGTCCACCCCTCACTGCTGATTGGTTAAAAGGGCTGTCCGTGATGCGGCCCCACCCCTTGCTGAGAACTGGTGGAGAGGGGCAGGGCTACATGATATACACCCCTCTCAGCCAAGCAGCAGCAAGCAGCGG